TTCAAATTGTTTTCGACTCGTAATGGCACAAATTGACTTGTGGAACACTTTGACTGCTCAAGCATTGTTGATTTGAGAGGGCAAAAGCGAGGCACGAAGGGGTGCAAAGAGTCTCCTCTAGGGCACCTACAACATTATCTAACGGCAAAATGTTGACCATCTTGCAAATCTTGGCATCAATCACAAACACAACATTTCTAATGTGAGGGATGATAGTAGTAAACAGAGAAATCGCAGATTCTGTGTACCTTGGTTTTCAGTTCATCTCTCACAAACTACGGCTCCATCGTGCACAAGTTTTGGTAGGCATTTAGATCCAGGAGTCCTTTAACTACTGACCAAAATTCAGCTCAAACAGACATTGTTTGACTATCCAAACGAATCATCTACCAAAACTGCTTTGTTCTGAAATTTTAGGACCGAACTATCAAAACACCTCTCAAATCCAATGCTTTACTCCACCAATCCTCAAACCAGCTTAAGACATCGAAGTACCTTAAGCGAGGAATGAGATCACCAAGTTTGGTGTGAATTCAACCATGTTTGAGCCACTAATCACTGGTTTAAAGATAACCGGTTTAGTGCCATGAAATCTCGACATATTTTCGGCTCTTCTTTTCCTGGGATTTACACATTGGGAAGTGTGTTTTGCACTCTCTAATTCTCTTTATGACAGCGGTAGCTTTCTCGCTGAGGATGGAGGCTAGGGTTTTCCTCATATGCTTCCCAAGGAACAACTTCAACCGTTGATGTAGGCACCAGCTCGACGATACACAAGCATTGAACTGGTGGGATGTTCTTGCAGGGCACAATGCATACTTCATGTGGAGTGACAGTCCTACAAAGATAAGGGAACGCCTCTGATTATCCTTCTGTGCTTCATCCAATAGAATCTAGAACAATCCTTTGATAGCACCATATACATAATGATGCTGACCGAAACTAGGGACGTGCTTTCTCTAGCGCTTTACTTAGCTGATACAGCATCCTGCACTATCTATGTATTGTCCAAGATGGAATTGACTTGACGACACAAGGCCTGGAGAAGAAAGCAGTACTGGTATCGCTGACCGGCTTTGCTATTTCTTCATCTAACATTGTTCTGTGAGACAGCCTTCGGAGCTACCAAAGAGTTATTACCTGGCTGTAACTTAACTTTCCTATTAGTAACTAATTAGTTGTCTCTCAACATTTAAAATCTCCAAAACTTCCTGTTTGAGAGCAACAATCGTAGTTGATGCGTATTCCGACCGTCAATATCAAGGCCAGCAAAAAAGGGTCACACCAAAGAGGTAAGTTGATCACCTTGCACATAAAGGCCAAGACTTGGACAGAAAGCTCATAAGCACCAGGTGACCCATTATAGGACATAATATCCCCATCCATTGTCACTCGACTGACAATTTGTTCAACCATAAGTGGGGTGCACCTTTCTGATCCAACGGGGATGACATAAGTTGCTCCTTACACGACCGACGTCATTACAGGGACCATCAAGTAGAGTCACTCGTCTACCATCTCTTACAGTCTATTAATGTTTATATCACTGACATGTTCTTCAAGGTTCTCCTCTGGACGACTTTAGAAGGAAGTTCTACTACTTTTGGTCTGATATAAGGATCTTCTGATTAGATATGGAGAGATAACCAAGGAAGGGCTTATGTGAAAATAACATATCGGTGCAGTTCTATAATGGACCATGACTAGAAACCTTGATACCAGCGCGTGCCGAGCAGCACAACCTTGTGTGCGCGCCCACAGGAGGCTCTCGGTTTCGTTGCGGCACTGTAGATCGCTAATTGTGGCACCATTACTGAACATACAACCCATAAGAATTTTCATGTGGCACAAATTTGGTTGCATAGGAGCAAACACCATGAGAAGGAGGGATAGCAAACAAAGGTAGTCACAAGGTTAGGAGTCAACAAGGAGGCGATCCGAAGATCAAAACACAGCGCAAAAGAACATAGCCTAATTGCCGAAGACAACTGAGCAGGGGACTCTGCCTAATTTCCATATACGCCTTATGTCCACCAAAGATTAACATGAGATTTGGTCTTGCCGAGCAGCAACATGAGATAAGGACTGATAAATATCCAGAGACTCGAAAGGGTTGGAGACAAAACAAACGAGATTCAAGGGACAGAGCCAATGCACTAACTAGGGATTCAGTTGATAAAACAATGACATGATCTGCGAGGAAAAGGTTCCAAAGGCAGGGTAGATAGCGATTAGCGTTGCACAAGATCATCTGTACGAGAAGGAGCAATGAGTCCCGACAAGGATTTTTGAGCAGGGTCCTCCCACACAGGAGTGGGACAACCATGACACATGTAAGCATTCAAGGGAACTAAGCTTGGACCTAAGATCAAACAAAGGCATGGATAAAGGTCTTCGTAGCGCAACGTTCAAGGGCTACCAACCACGTGTACAGGATTAGGCTCCTAAGAGAGAACTTAATTGGAGACGACAACCATAAAATTAGCAAAACTTGGACACTGTTCTAGGATAGCGCTCTTCAACACTCGTATGCTTACCGAGGGCAAAAAGGGTGACAGCTACTTCACTACCTAGATAACGAGCATCCACACATACATCATGGTCTTAAGCAAGAATTTCGAATATACTCAATCCAATAAGCTTAAGCGACTATTACTAAGCACAAAGCTCGCACACAACAAGCAGTCACCTACAGCAACACCACTACACATAAACATGCGAAACATGGTGGTAAGGTACTGTTATCTTTTATTTCCTTTTTACTGAGAATGTGGATATCTCTACAAAATACGTTTTACTTACATTTAGCAATTTAGTTTTCAGAGGTTCAACTTTTTGCTAACTATTAACTCGTCATCTATTATCTTTGGAAGCAAACATATAAGACGAAGCTAATCACACACTATCTTCAAGCACAGCTATTCAAGTGGCATGGAACAAGGCATTTTGTCTAGCTTCACACAGGGAAAATAGTAACATCACATTGATCACAAGTTACTTAGTATTAGAGCAAAGTGAGGGAAGCATATTTATGCACGAGCACAATCATGATGCATGACTGTCCTATTCGTCCTCACAAAATTGCCAGCCTAAGATGGCAATCACGTTCTATGTCGGTGGCATAACATGTACTCTCTCGATATATAGCTACTCGTCAGCTACATTCAATCTACGCATTCGTGGTTAGCGTACCTGCAGAAGGATTTCATTTCAGCCCAACCCCACAATTATATATGCAGAAATGAAAGTCTAGGCTCTAGGTTGCAAGCTAAATACTTCCATATATATATACCCATATATATATACTCCCATATCAAAGCTACCCGAAAGTAAATACGTCTATATATACATATAGAATATGCATATATAGCCGTACCAAAGCTAACCCGCAATTAAATACTTTCGTATATATATATGATATATATATTTAAGTATCAAAACTATTTATCCCCTTTGATCGCACGCTCACATCTTGCGGTCATGCCACTCATCAACTTACCTTCTTACTTGAGCGTAGAGGTATAGTGACCCATACATTACCATTCAAGCGAATGGTATCCATACAATAGCACGCCATATGGACGACGAAAGTAAAAACCCTCATGTTAGTACTTAGATAGCCACCTAATAGTCTTTAATTGGGCATAAAGGAGGATATCGCTAGCATAGTTTTGCAAATAAGTTTTGATAAATTTACCTGTAGCTAAAGTTTTAGTTAAAATAGGCCTTTTATAACCAAAACTTTGTTTTTAAAACTATGTACATGACAGTGTTATGCTTAATCTTGCTCTGATGCCAGCTGTGACAGAACCGCCCAATTTATACAAGATCAAATATGGCTGTCCCCGCTAACACATTGACACGCGCATACTTTCACTTATATAAACCCGGTAGTCCACCGAGTGTCACGAAGGACCTCGATAAATCAACATCACAACCAAGATCGCGTGATTAAGCAAATACACATCACATACACAGAGTTGCAGCGGAAATAATATTACAAATAGGTTCGCAATTAATAGTACAAGTTTGGGTTTCAAAACCAATTAAGGGAAAACAACATAGCTTTCCGTGTTACATTAATATAAGTTCCAAATACATTGCTAGCATAAGTGACATCCTCTGATAAAAGCATATAGATAAGAAATAAATATAGAGTCACCGAGCCCACCGGCGGTTAGCCACCATCTTCAGCAGGCCGAAACTTCACCTGCAACATGGTGGGATAAACTCTGAGTACTCGAATGTACTCAGCTAGACTTACCCGTCATAAACCAGAAATAAAGTGACACCAAAGAGTATGCAAGACTTTATCAGTAGAGCTGGTAGACATTATTTGCATAAAAAGCATAATTTGTCCAATATCTCTTAAATTATGAATCACCAGTTATTAATCATATCTCATACTAGATTAACAACTATCCTATGCCAAACATGTTGGTACCATTAAGTCATCACAATAATAACCATATCCGGTTGAGTTCTTTCATAATCTCATAACCAACACTTCCATCGATTACTACGATGAAGCATACTCTTGTCAAGTTCTCACTATCCGGGAGAGACGACGATTCGAATCGATTCCTACCCAGCTGGGGAATTATTCCTAACACGCACCCATACTCCCCGCGTCGGGGTCGCATTAGGTCACCTTTGGTACAACTCAAGTTCAATCGCGAGTAAGACCAGCGCCGCACCCTCAAAGATATAACCAATCTGTCAGGAGGCTCGGGACTCTAACCCGCCCTTGGGCTTACGCCATTGACTCTCCGCACATCCTTACTGTCTCCAGGGTGCGCACTTTAACTGCTCGTGTCCACGGCCGGAGTTGAGTTACTCAGCTTCGCGGTCGGAACTGCAACACTTGAAACTGTAACGCGATCCTAGACTTAGAAAAATTTTCAAACTCAAAAACATTAATGCTTTTGCTACTTGTGGACTATTTTTGAGCATGCTATGCACCGAATTAGACTTTGACCCAAAAATAAAAGTTGTTGATCTAGTCAAGTACTACAACTTTGCTTAAGGGTGCACTGCCATGCAAAGTCTCTAGAGTATAGTTCACTTAGGTCAAACATGCAACTTGAAAATGATAACTTACACTATAACCATGACTTAGAGGTCAAATTGGCCCAAATCATGAATACAAAAGTTTTTCCAAATGACATTCTAAACATGTTAAAAGTACTCCTAGAGTTCCGCAAGCATTTTATACATTGGTTACATGTAAACCTTAGCATATGTGAAGCAATTAGGGACAACACATGTGATATAAGCAAACATAGAGATAGAAATTAAGATGCTTATGCTCATGAATGATCAATGATGCTTGTGCTCATGCAATGCCAATGCTAAATGCATGCATAACACCTAGGGTGTTACAATAACAGTACATGCATATGGATATATCAAGGATAAGGCTTGGTTTTTATTTGCATAAAGCTATCTTTAGACACATGCAAGGTTTTATTTTATAAATACATTTGCAAAAGACATATATTTTCTGTATATATAAGAGTAGTTCTGAAAAGGGGATTTGTCACAATTTTAAGTGCTGCTGAACACTTTGTTCTCACAACACATGGTAGACAACCATTCATTTCCAAAATCACACTCACTCTCATGTTTCCACTCATCCCAACCCATCTAGTTGTTGAAACCAAACCATAACCCATCCGAGACCACGAACACGACTATCCGGATAAATTTTATACTCTGCAGAGGTTATACACTTTCACCACAAGTAGGATATTGTAACTTAACACCATCGTGCAAGCACATATCCATCAGAGCCATTACCCTCCATAGCTGAATACTAGTGCTCACCACGAGCACACAAGGCAACGATATCATAATACAACAATTTACAGAGCTCATTACATTTCATACAATTCCTCAGTTTTCACATACATCTCTTAGTGTCCCGTTGCAGTGATTGTCGTACCAACTAGGGGGATTTAGACTAAGCCTTGCCACATACAAGATCGTGTGGTTGTATGATAAAATGAGTTAGGTGAGATTAATCATCAACTCAGTCTTTAATCGAGACAAGGCGGATATCTTCACTTTTAACCACAAAAGGTAGAAGCCACAACACCATGGCATCCCACAAAAGGGATCCGGTCCGCCCCATCTCTAGGGTAATCACCATCTATACTTGTTTATTAACCCTTTCACAATGCCCACAACTTATCCTCACCACTCACAATTTTTATTTAAAATCACTGCATTTGAGAAATCATAGTGATTAGTATCCATGATGGATACCAAGTCCTAAGCATTGCTAAATAATAATATTTCGTCATAGCATAATATTTATCTCTAGGTTTGAACAAGACATTTATCAGGTAATATCAATCCAAGGATGGCTATTCAAACGGGTTTTAGCTAAGCAGCAAAAATACCTCGTACGTATAATCGGACATGCAATATTTAAAACGACTTCTACTAGTTGTGTTTAAAAATGGGATCAACATGCATCAAAGGGGAATGGATTGGACTTGCCCCCGTTGGCGTCCTCGAGAAACTCCTGCTGGAAGTTCGGGTCCTCAGCATCGAACTCGTGGTACTCGTCTTCGACGTCCTCGTTCTCCGGCTCGTTCACTCCGTCAGCTAAAACGCGCAAACAAACACAATCAAATACTAGCACTTACTCAAATGAGCTCTAAAATCATGAAATTTATAAAGGAGATAGGTTTTAATTTTAGATAAATTTAGAAAGAAGAATCGATGGAATCGGAGGTCCGATGTGGGAGATATGGATTTCAGATGATGGTTGTTTGTTTGATGCAAAATGAAATATTCATATTTGCATGCACGTGATTGGCCTGGGTGGTGTTTGGGCTTCACGATATGCCCATTGGGCTGCGGCTTGCCTGTGCGTGGCGCACTCTTCTGGACAGCTGCTTTGCTCTCTAGCGTCTGGGTCCAGAGAGAGAAGGGAGTGGAGGAGTTAGCTGCTGCTATTGGCCATGGAACAAGCAGAGTGGGAGGGGGAACACAGGAGCGTTCGTGCTCCTGCTGCTCGTCCGCCATGGACAGCCACTGGCGCTCCGGTATCCAGCGATTCCGGCCACGGTTTCCAAATCTGAGAGCATGGGGAGAGAGAGGAGATGGAGGGGATGCTCGTAGGTGTGCTACCTTGGTCGATTACAGCTTGAAGAAGGAGATCGAGTGGGCGGCCGTTCTCTGCGTAAGAACAAAGAAGGCTTGGTGGGGAGGAGGAAGAAGGTGAGCGGCAGAGCGGAATGGCTCGGCGAGCTTTGTGTGGTGGAGGAGGAGAGGCAAGAGGCGAGAGGTGCGCCCCTTGTATAAGCAGCTGGAGGTGGAGCTCGGCTGAGCGGGCTCAACACCACGGCATGGCCGCGACAGAGCTGGCACGCGGGAGGACGGGCGACGGGCGTGGCGCAGCGCGGCGTGCTTCGGCAGCTTTGCAGAGCAACGGGACAAGGCGAGCAGTGGGTGGCAATGGCGCTGAGGCGACGCCCGCGTTGACGGCGCAGCTGACACCGGGGGCAGCGCGGGGTGGCCGCGGTCGCTCGGCAGCAGGCTCTGCTGCTTGCGTGTTTGGCCCTGCGCGTACACTATGTGGCGCTGTGCGCGTTTACTTGCTACATGGGGCTCTGCGCTGCTAGTACTTGCTTGCATGCTGAGCGTGGCATGCGAGATGCTTTGCTTCAGGCTGCGTGCTGCTGGCGCTCAGTTGAAGGAAGAGGAGGGAGAGGAAAATGGAGATGGGGCCATGATGTCACGGTGGTGCGTGGGCACTGTGGTGGGCGAGGGGGTCCGGGCACGGGTGCACCGCGGCGGTAGTGGTGGGGCCCGTGCATGCGGGGTCTGTTGGGCGAGGGCGAGCGGAGCGCAAACGATGGAGAGAGGTGGGGGACGGCACGAGATATTCTCGTAGCAGCATGCGAGATGTATATTTGGATAAGGGGACATAGGAATATACATGAGATGGAATAAGTAGGAAAGAAATTTAAATAGAGCTCAAAATGATTTTAGTTTTTAAAATAGATTTTGAAAATATTTTTAAGCGAGTGATTTCAAGAATTGAATTTTCGGGATGTTACAAACCTACCCCACTTAAAAGAAATCTCGTCCTCGAGATTCGACTGGCTCGTAAAGAGGTGGGGAAATTCTTTCTTCAGGGCATCTTCTCTTTCCCAGGTTGCTTCTGCTTCAGTATGTCTGCTCCACTGAACACGACAAATTCAGACTGTTTTTGTCCTGGTTTGCTTGGTGACTGTGTCTAGGATTTTTATTGGAACTTCTTAATACCTCAGATTATCTTATAAATGAACAGTATCTGGAGATATTTGTTCTTCTGGTACTCTAGCCATTTCTTCAATTGGGAGACATGGAATACATCATGTATATCTAACATCTTTTCAGGTAGCTGAATACGGTAGGCTACGGCTCCAATCCTTTGCAACACTTGGTATGGTCCGATATACCAAGGTGCTAGTTTACCTCTGACTTGGAATCTCCGAGTCCCTCGAATCGGAGAAACTTTGAGATACATAAAATCTCCAACTGCAAAACTTAACTCCCATCTTTTTTATCATAATAGCTCTTCTGCCGTGATTGTACTTCTTTCAATTTTTCCCTGATGCCAGCGACACGGTCTTCTACTTGTTTTATGAAGGCAGGTCCAAGCAAGGTTCGTTCTCCAACTTCTGACCACATTAATGGAGTCCTGCATTTCCTTCCATACAGGGCTTCGAAAGGTGACATACCTAGACTGACTTGGTAGCTATTATTATAGGAGAACTCTACATAAGATAAGCTTTTCTCCCAATCTTTACCATAGGTAAGCACGCATGCTCTCATCATATCTTCCATGATCTGGTTTGTTCTTTCTATCTGACCATCTGTCCAAGGGTGATAAGGTGAGCTAAAATCTAACTTGGTTCCCATGGCTTCATGCAATCTCTTTCAAAACTTAGAGGTGAATTGGGCACCTCGATCAGATACAATCCTTCATGGAACACCATGTAGCTTGACTATGTTATCCACGTATAACTATGCTAGTCTGTCTCCACCATAGCTGGTGCGTACGGGTAGGAAGTGAGCAACCTTAGTAAGATGGTCTACTATTACCCATATTGAATCATTCCCTTTCTGAGTTTTGGGTAGTCCATTCACAAAATCCATGCCTATCTCATTCCATTTCCAAACAGGAATAGGCAATGGCTGGAGCAAACCAGCTGGTCTCTGGTGCTCTACCTTAACTCTCTAGTAAATATCACACTGTGCAACAAATTGTGCCACATCAGCTTTCATGCCATTCCACTAATATCTTTCTTTTAGGTCCATGTACATCTTGGTGGCACCAGGGTGGATAGAGTAAGCTGAGTTATGAGCTTCATCAAGGATTAGTTCTTGAAACTTTCCTTCCTTGAGCACACAAATCCTATCTTTATACCACAGGGTTCCTTTGTCATCCACTCTGAAGTTTGGGGCTTTGTTTTCTCTAGTGTGTTTATGAATCTTCATGAGGTCTTTATCCTTATGTTGTGCCTTCTTGATTTCTTCCTCCAGAGTTGGTTGCACACTCAGACTACCATTTTGAGGTTGGCGTACTATGTGAATGTTCAGCTATGCTATCTCTTCTTGTAGGTGAGTGTTCTTAGGCACTAATTGTTGACCATATGACTTTCTGCTTAAGGCATCTACTACCACATTGGTCTTGCCTAGGTGGTAATGAATTTCAAGGTTGTAGTCCTTAATTAACTCCAACCATCTTCTTTGCCTTAGGTACAAGTCTGATTGAGTGAAGATGTACTTCAAGCTCTTATGGTTCGTGTAGATTTCACATTTGTTCCCAATGAGGTAGTGCCTCAAAATCTTAAGAGCATGCACTACAACTGCTAACTCCAAATCATGAGTAGGGTAATTTTGCTCATGAGGTTTAAGCTGGTGGGATGCATAAGCAACCACTTTTCCTCCTTACATGAGGACACATCCTAAACCTTGTCTTGAGGCATCACAATATATGACAAAATCTTGATGAATATCTAGCAAAGTTAATAGTGGTGTTGTTGTCAGTCTCTTCTTTAACTCTTGGAAACTCTTCTCACATGATTTCATCCAGGTAAATTTCTTATCCTTCCTGAGAAGCTCTGTCATGAGTCTGGCTATCTTCGAAAATCCTTCTATAAACCTTAGGTAGTACCCAACTAATCCAAGAAAACTCCTGACCTCGCTCACATTGGTGGGTTGTTGCCAATGAGAGACGGTTTCCACTTTTTTAGGGTCTACTGCAACTCCTTCAGTTGTTAGGATATGACCTAAAATGCAACCTTTTCAAACCAAAACTCACACTTGGTAAATTTGGCGTACAACTTATGTGTTCTTACCTTTTCCAATACCACTCTCAAGTGTTGTCCATGTTCTTCAGCACTCTTAGAGTAGATAAGCATGTCGTCAATGAAGACTACGACGAACTTATCTAACTCCTCCATGAACACCTTATTCATGAGGTTCATGAAATAAGCAGGGGCTTTGGTTAATCCAAAGGACATCACTATAAATTCATATTGTCCATATCTAGTTACAAAGGTTGTCTTGGGGACATCACTATCCTTGATCTTAAGCTGGTGGTAACTTGATCTCAAATCAATCTTGGAGAAATATTTGGCTCCTTTAAGTTGATCAAAGAGGTCATCTATCCTGGGCAGAGGATACTTATTTTTAATGGTGACTTCATTTAGGGATCTATAATCCACACACATCCTCATACTTCCATCTTTCTTCACAAACAAGACTAGGGCTCCCCATGGTGAAGAACTAGGTCTAATGTAACCTTTCTGTTGCAATTCCCTTATTTGCCTTTTCAATTTGGCTTACTCTGCTAGGGCCATCCTATAAGGTCTCTTGACTATTGGAGTAGTTCCAGGGATAAGATCAATGATGAACTCTATGTCCCTATCTGGTGGCATAATAGGTAGCTCATTTGGGAATACATCTGGGTATTCTTCCACTATTGGCACTTCTATTGTCTTTGCCTCCAGATTGAAGACCATTGGGTCAACTTTAGATCCTCGGGTTCGGCATTTGACCCTAATCCCTTCATGGTTAACCAATGATACTTCCTTGGTTGCACAACTAACAACTCCATTGTGCCAGGTTAACCAGTCCATTCCAAGAATAACATTTATTCCCTTGACTTGAGCACTACTAAGTTTGCTAGGAAACCTACCCCACTTAAAATGATCCTTACATTTGAATAACCTAGATGACATTTGATGTCAGACCCAGGTGTTTGGGCTATTAGGGGTAACTTTAGTAGTACTGTTGGCATTTTATGCTCTTCAACAAAACTTGACGATATAAAAGAATGCGATGCTCTGGAGTCAACTAATATTGTGGCAAGTGCTGAGTTGACTAGGAACTCACCAAGTACCACTCCTAAAGCAGTTTGAGCATCCTGAGCATGAATGTGGTTGACACGGGCTTGGCCATAAGACTGTTGAGGTTGCCTCATCATCTAACTGTTGTTGTTGCTGTTGGTGATGTTGTTGCGAGGGAAACCACGATTGACTCCAGATACGGCAGGTCTTGGTCCATTAACAGTGTGAGACTGGGTGGACACTGTTGGTGGGTTGTTCTTATAGGGACAATTGGTGACATAATGTCCAATCTCATGGCAATGGAAGCAAGCCTTGCTGTTGTTAGTGACTTGACCAGTGCTATTCTATTGAGTTTTGCCATAAGTCTGATTTTGATAAGTTATCTTGGGCTGATATGATGGCTGGGTCTGGTTAGATGCACTAGCAGAAGAGCAAAACTGCATTGGGGCTTGAGTCCGCTGGCTTGGTTGGCTAAAGGTTTTCAACCTCTATGACCAAGCTCCTTCCTGAACTTTACGCTCTTGGAACTTGCGCTTGTTTTCTTTCTTTTCTTCAGTCTTGGCTACATCAGTCGAAATAGTTCTATTCATTAAGGTGTTGAAGTCTGGATAGATCTATGGGGTCATCAGGGTCCTCATCTCACATGTCAATCCTTCTATGAACTTTGTCTGCTTCTTAGCA